TCAGCTGATCTCCGAAACAGAGTCCAGCTAAGGAAATTGGACTTAATTTTAGCAGGGGGCGGGCGGGGGGGAAGGACTGCGTAAACTAGAGTAACATGATGTAATTTGCAAGAATGTATTCTCTACTGCCAATGTGGGCAAAAGACTGAAATCTAGGCAAACAGCTATGATTTTCCAAGGAAGAACTAAAGACCTAGGTCACAGCCGTGATAGCATAAAGGAATGGCAAGACTCTCAAAACATGTCTGAGATCCAAATGAGCAAGATTTGTTGAATGAACAGATGTTGGAGTGAGAAAGAAAAGTGAAATTGGATCGCATTTTCTAACTCAAGAGATGATATGATAGTTAAATAACTGATCATAAAAACATCGCCAAATCCCACTGTCATAGCAAGCAAGACAGTAGTGTTTCCAAGGCTGTACATCTTCACAGGAGGAGAAAGCCTCACCTTTCTCCCACAGAGTGGCTAGTGCGTTAAAATTGCTGACCTTGCGGTTAGCAGGGTCCAATGTGGACTGCAATGGCATAGTCCGCAGGCTCACCTTAATATTGTCAAATGAGTAGTTTTATTGAGTGTAAGACACCTAATTCTGTTTTAGACATATCATTATGGTTGATGAATGTCTTCCCTATGCAGAGTTCCTCAGATGGATTTTCCATCATGTTCTCAGCTCCTAACACATTGTAGAAATTTAATACTTGGTGATGGAATCAAATACAAACTCATACAGATTTTTTTAAGTGCTGCACATCTACATTTCACAAACATGGTCTCTGCCTTCCCTTATACTTAACTTCATTAAGACAGGTCAAGATTCTAGTAGTCTACTCTCAACAATTTTGAGTAGCAGTTACATGCTGAAACACTCACATTAATGCTTCAGCTGCATGGTTACTCAAACATACTAAACACGGATTTCCTTAAGAAGAACATTGATTCCTAGACAAATAGCACATTGATGACTGGCAAGAGGAAAATTTAAGCTTACTAAAGATTACAGCCTTGGAAACACTATGGGTCACTTCCAATCTGTTGGAATCAACATGATGGCAATGAGCTCGGTTATCACAATGGAGTAACCTATGTAGATAATTCTTCCTTACCTTGGGAAATCACTAGAACAAGAAGCACGATAGCCATACATTTTAGGCTTGATTCTACTAATGAGTAGGTGAGTGATCTTGGGTATGTCATTCACTGTATATTCAATAGGTACATTCACCTATTTTATTTTACACAGATGCTCAGAAGCGAAAACAAGGACAAAGCATTTAAAAAGAAACATCAGGTCACTATCACAGTCTGTAGGAAGACTCTTCATTAGGAACATGAACTCCATTATGATGACGGTGCTCTAACCTCTTCTAAGCTAGGTTAAAAGACTAGCGTAGTTGTTCCTTGTTGTTAGGTCCAGAACAAAACACTGCCTGGTCCTACACCATCCTCCCAATTGCTATGTTTGAGCCCATTGATGTAGCCACTGCGTTTCCTTGACAAACCTAGAATAGTGAGCTTTTTCCCTAGAGTACTGGGTAGCATATGTCTGTTATCTGCAGAAAAAGATCATCTGAGATTGGCTTCACTTCTGTCATTCTGTTTGGAAGCGTCCTTGTAATCAATCAGAATTGGAAGTTACTCGGGCTTTATGAGAGCTGAATAGATGGAAGTGGTCAGCAATCTGTGAGGAAGACAACTGAAAGAAGCATAGTGCAAATGGTTCTAGTGGTCCCTGTTTTTAACAGTTAATTAACGCCTGGAAACGTCATGGTAAAATAAACTAATACAGGCAAACTCATTTCCCTAAAGCAAAGCAGTGAGGGTGTGCACTGCTACATTAGTCAGTGAAGGCTTTAGGAAGTGAGCCAGGCAGAATTTGAGTAAAAGGGGGCAGTGAGGGCACCCTGGTAAGGCCACCAATAGGAACAAAGGCGCAAAGCAGGAACTCAGTATTTAGTGCAGGTCCACTAGCATCAAGCATGGAGGGAGGTTCACAAGATGTGCTGACCCATGAACTTCAACATTTCTTGGTTCCAATGAACTCAGAGTATAAAAAGGCACACAAACTAACATGGATGAAGTGAAAAATAATAAAGTACATATGATGTCTTATCAGAACACAAATGAGGAATATTTTTTTTATTCTGGATTTAGGCAAAATAGTAAGATATGGTAAGACCCTTGATCTAAAGTTTGAAGGATGAGTAGAGCTTGCATTGCTCTGTGAAGAAAGGAGGCAAGAAAGGCATTCTTGACCAAGTCAATAACATTAGCAATGCCATGAAAGTGTAAAGGGTGTTTAGGGTAGAGAACAACAGCTGGTAGGATAAACAGGTACTAGAACTATAAACAGGTAGCCTTCGGCAAAATCAGGAAGAAGCTCATTCTATAAATAATAAGGAGCCACCCTCAAATTTGAAAGCCATGGCACTGTCAGGTTCAGAAGAGAGGAGAAGTAGATTTGTGGGTATATAACAGATTCCATCTACATGTCTTATAATCTATCATAATGTTAGTACCTGTTTCCCTCCTGGGTTAAGAGCTGAAGTGGTTTCCCTGTCTCTAGCCTGAAACTTCTCTCCAACCTATCCTTTACAGTGGTAACATAATTCTCTTTTCCACAACCACACTCTGAGCATGTTAATTAAACCCCTAATTAAAACTCTTCAAAGCCTGTCCCCATTCCCCCACAGCATGTAGAATAGAGTCCAAATGTCCTTGTTTGACATACAGCCATTTAAAGCCTTGTTACCACCTCTCTCCTATGACTCACACACGCACCCTTTGCTCCAGTCATATGGAATTTAACATTCTATGCAATTCCAGTTTCCACGTCTTTGTGTTACTTCTCTATCAAATAGCAAATTTCTAGCTCCAACATTATCTTAAGGACACCTTTCAAAAGTCCAATTTATAAAAACTAACTTCTGTACTTGTGTAGTGCCTTCTGTAGGATATTGTCACCCAACACTGTAATTGTGGATTTATCTATTTCAATAGTCAGCAAGGTCCTTGAGGCCAGAGATGATGTCTTATTTTATTTCACAGAATCTAAGCAATGTCTGGGCACAAATAGTCAGCACTCAAAAACATTTGTTGAGACAGTTCATTTGGGCATCTATTAACTGATGTGCTTGAAGAATATATGGAAATGGAGCTAAGTATTGTTATGCGAAAAAGGCAGGTTTCAAGATAGCATGCACAGTAAGGTCGCATTCCTGTTTAAAACACATTAGGCCATTGAAACGAAACAAAGACTGATGGGGTCTGAAGTCAGTTCGGGCTGGCGAGAGCAAACTGAGTCGTCACCATACAGGTGCAAAGTGAAAATCACCTAAAAAAAGACAGAATGGCCAAGGATGGAACCCTGAGAAACAGCGTCATTAAGAGAATTGGAAGAGGAGAGACAGCAGAGACACTGAGAAGAGACTAAGAAGAAACGAAACCACGGGAAACAATGAGGAGTATGTTTTGAGTGGGGAAGAGGCAGTGTCAAACACCAAAAGGCAACGAAATCCCAGAAATAAGATTGAGTAGTGTTCTCTCTTGCTGATCTCAGCTCAGTACCCAAGAGATACTGGTGACTACTTATGATAACATTTTATATTCTATTTTTTATGTTCAAAATTGGTTGTTTTTAACCTTTCAGTTCTAAGACTAAGTGAAAACCTGGAAGATACTTAAAACTACTTGAAATGGTAGTAAAGCAATTAAACCAAGATTGAAAAATTAAGATTTTGGAATATTTTGACTGTTTCCTTGGTTTATAAGTCACTTATGATAAAATTCAATGATTAACCTCCTCTCTGGGGGATGGGAAACAGAAGGATGGGTGAAGGGAGACGCTGAGCAGTGTAAGATAAGATAAAATAATAATTTATAAATTATTAAGGGTTCATGAGGGAGGGGGGAGTGGGGAGGGCGAGGGAGGGAAAAACGGAAAATGAGCTGATTCCAGGAACCCAAGAGGAAAGTGAATTTTGAGAATGATGAGGGCAACAAATGTATGTGTGCTTTACACAATTGATGTATGTATGGATTGTGATAAGAGTTGTATGAGCCCCAATAAAATGATTTAAGAAAAATAATTGTGTAATCATTACTACAATTTTAGAACATTTTCTATATTCTTGTATTCATTATTAGTACCTTCCTTTTTTCTCTCAACCTCCCTGCCAAACCTAAAAAATATCGATCTAGTTATTCTCTATATAAGTTTACCTATCCTGGATTTCATAAAAAGAAAATCAGAGCCCCCTGCCTCCCCCAAAACAAAACAACACCAACAATAAAAACAGAAAAAGCACAGTACAAAAGAAAGCAGAAAATAATAAAAACTAAAAATTAAAAACGTGTCAAAAGGGGACACAAATGAGAAGGTGTTAAAATGTTAAACAAACTATAATTAATCCACTTTCCAATTCACTGTCTGGACAATGGTCTATGGGAATTCAATGGAGGCATAATCCTTATGGGGACTACATAATTGGATTTTGGGCTTTCACTGCCATCCATAGCCTTCTGCAAACCAGGTGCTTAGAATTTAACCTCGAATACAACTCCCCACACCCGATCTTGGGTTTTATTATTTATAATCCTTGGGTCTCACAGGCTGGTGTGCTTCTTCCATGTGGATTTAGCTGACACCTCCCTTAGATGGCTGGTTGTTTTAAGACAAGCATTTTTCATAAGTACTTCTCTTTCTAGTGTCCATTATTACTAGCCTTAAAATACATAATATAGGTGTGCATGAAGGAAATTTTGCTGTATTTAAGTCTCTACCAATAGTTTAGTTGCTTGAGTAACACAGTTTGTTATCACTTTTAAACATCCAATTTTCATGTACCAATTCTAATAGAAGACAACTCTTGCTTCTGACTCCAAAAACCTTAATTTTTAATTGCATTTGTTCACACATTTCTGATAAACAGTAAGTACTTTAGGGTCAACAAAGCAAACCATACCATTTCATAAGAGTTACCATAAAACAATGAACATACCCCTGTGTCTGTATCAGATTTTGATGAATTTAGACTTTCCTGAGACGGTGATGGAGACACGCGCCCTAAAAACAACATAATAATTATAAAATTGCATGTACGTGTATATGTACCATAACATGAAGCAAAACACTCAGACATAATAGCAGTCAGAGAATGCAGCCTTTTAGAAAAATACATTTTCTAAACATGTGAAGCATAACTCTTTAAGCACAAAAATATTTTTCTTTATTATTAAGATGTCATTATTCATAATTAATAAATTCTTGTTAATCATAACACATAGTGAGATCAACAATAAAGGGGCAGAGGTGGTGGTTGTCTGGGATAGGATAAGTGGCAAGGTCAACTGGAAATGCTCTTTTGCATTCCAGGGAGAACAACAACAACAAAAACATGACAGCTAACCAGGATAAGAAAATTTTACCGAGAGTAAACAAAGTGTAAGTTCTTGTCAATTTGGCCTCTTCAATTATGTTTTTTTTTGTTCAATTATGTTTAATAGCATAATGCACGCATTGCCCTCTGAATCGATTAAGGCATATAAGGTCTAGCTCGGCAGTTTAAGGAATTCTTCTTGACATGTCCTGCTCATAGGGACCCTACAGGAACAGGGTAGAGCTGTTCCTGCGGGTGTCGTCGGGAGCTGAAAGCCTCATGAGTTGGAACTGGCTCGATGACAGCGAGTGGTTTTTTTGGTTCTGGACATGTGGGGCTCAACCTGAAGTTTCATTTCTAGTCTCCATTATTAGTGGGTCTTCTCTTCACTACCTGGTTCTCTCATCCCTTCACTTTTTGTTTGCAACCTGGGTTGATGGGGGTGTAAAGAAAATTTATTACACACGTTAAAAACTTCAGGAAAAAAGTTATTAACTTAAAAGTCCCCACTTTTCACGAACACAACTGATACCATGCTACACATGTTCATAATCGTAATCAGCATGCATTTAATATGCTCAAGTCTTTCTTTTCCATTGAACACCTTTTGATAATCCCTTTGATATGTTGACAAATCACATGGACTTTTCCAAGAATGTTATCTTAATCATTATTTATTAGATGTATAAAGGGCTTATAAAAATTCACACAAAATGCCATTGAAAGATAATGGAATTTTCCTATGAAATTATGGATGCCCCCTCGCATATACTAATCTCATTCTCTTTCTATATTAATTAAGTCTTTCACATTAAACTGGGTTTTAACTACAGGTTTCCAGATAAAACAAGTTAATTTGCTTAATATAAGGATGTACTAAGCCCATAAAGTATTGTGATAACTATTTTTCTTTAAAACTTTTCTTTGGGGGCTCTTACTGCTCTTATCACAATTCATCCATACATTCATTGTGTCAAACCCATCTGTACATATGTTGTCATCTTTTTCAAAACATTTTCTTTCTACTTGAGCCCTTGGTATTAGCTCCTCACTTTTTCCCTCCCTCCCCCCATGTCCCCCCCTTGATAGTTTATAAATTATAAATTATTCTTTTTTTATTCCTGGATAACTATTTTCAATGGGCTTAAAGGTTTTTGTGTTTTTTTTGGCTCTTGATGTCTCATCTTACTTTGAGATTTGTGGTTTTTATGAAAAGTAGTGGGTGCTGCAAATGATTGCCAAATAAGAAGTACATTGGTGTGCCCACAATGGGAACATTCTAGATTTCTCTGGATTTTAAAAGCTCATCAGTAAATTAAAAAATACCTTCAGTGTTGTATTTCATTCGCATATTGTTGAAATAGTCAAAAGCATTTTTTAACGCCCATATTCTCACTACATTGTCTTGTCCAGCTGAAGCAAGTAATCGGCCACAGTGAGAAAATTTCATGGTCCAAACAGCTCCCTATGAGAACAAAGGACATTTCAAATTTATTTCTTAAAAAGTTGAGATATTACTTTAAACCAAATGTTAAAATTCTGCAAAATTAGACCTATGGATACAATATTCAAATTATTAACACCATGTATGGCTACGAGTACAGTAGTGCTAATAGCACCACAAGGAGGGGCTTTCAGAAAGAAGATAGATAATACAGTTTACCATAAATTACATTAAGGCCCCAAATCTTGTTTACATTTTTAATTAAAATAGGAGCACTGAAGGGCTTCATAGTGTCTTCAATGGCTAGTTTATTAAGAAGTATATTATCGGAGGCCTTTCTTCAAAGGCACATGTGTGCAGACTTAAATCTCTATCCTTTGAGTTAGCAGCTGTTGGATTGATGTGCTTTAATACTAATCCAAAAGGTTGAAGGTTTGAGTCTACCCAGAGGTGCCTCAAAAGAAAGGCGTGGCTGTTTACTTCTTAAAAAGGTATCATTCCAAACTCTACAGAATGCAGTTCTCCTCTAACATACATGGGCTTGCCATGATTGGAGTGGGCTTCACAGCAACTGGCTAACTGGTAAAGTGGTCAGATCTGAATTGTAATTGCAAAAGTACAAATCCTAGTTTTGTAGGTCAGCCTCCTAATTGAAAAAGCGATGGAAGTGGGGGATAGAAGAGGCAGAGCTGAGGAAAGAACAAGGCTCACATTAGCAATGTCCCTTGTAGTGTTGGAATTGTAAAGTCACGATCTGTTTCCCCTTGGAGTTTCAGGATAAGGTTAGAATCCTTAGTATTGAAAACAGTGGGGAAATCTGTGTTGGAGCATTTGTGTGTGGGTGGGCCGGTGGTGTGGTGTAAGAGAACTAGAAACTCTCTATATTATAAAGGTCAAATTCTATCACTGTGATCCACCCCACTACTAGAGTCAATTCCACCTCACAGTGAGCTCTTATATAGGGTTTCAGAGGCTATAAATGTTTATGGGGGAGAGGACAGCTTCATCTTGAAGAGTAGCTGGTGGGTTTGAACCGTCAACCTTGCAGTTAGTAGTCCAACGCTTATCGGACAGTGCCATCAAGACTTCCCATCAAACACATGGATGTGCACCAAGAAGATAATCTAATCTAGAGGTACGAGCTCATTTACTGGAAAAATACTTGTTTTCACAAGACTCAAGCAGATTCAGAAATTTATAATTTGGAGCCTATTACACTGGGATTTTACTTAACAGAAGAAATAACAAAAGAGCCAACTCAATACAACGGAATTTATCAAGATTCTTTAGTTGCTATAACCAACTCAGCCATTTTATGTGCAGATTTTAGGTGCTAAAATATACACTGTACTCTGGATGCCATCTAACAAGGTCTGCTGTTGTTTCCACATAGTGACAACTTTCAAAGGTTAGTATAAAGTCAATTGTCGTTAAAAAGGTGGCATTTAAAAATCAGCATTTTAAAAATTCCTGTATTCTTTGATTATACGTAACATTTCCTTTATTCCCAAAGTCAGTCTGATAATCAAGAGCTGATTCTAAATATAAGAAACTAGCAGAAGTATAGATGGATTGAAGAAAATACAAGAACATCCGTTTCTCTTCTCAGCAAGAAGAGGAAAAATAACTCACGGTCCACTCAGAAACAATCTCAGATGCTGAGAGATGATGGCGGGTTAGGTTTGCTGATCAGGAGCATACAGCATCATTTTTCCAGTTCTGAATTTAATTGCTGCCTTTCTAGTTTCAAATATTTTCAGGAGCAACTGCCAACACAATTTGTTTACATGCTTTCATCTATTTTGGTACATTTTAACTGTGCTGCTTGTACCTCCTTGTTTTAGCTAAGAATCCAACTTCATAAAATATTCTTTGTTTCGGAAGAAAAAACACAAATAAATTATTTAAAATACACTGGGGAACATTTTAAACATTTTCCAGAGCAACCCCTAATTCAATGGTTTAAAGAGGGGTAGCTTTGTATACATTTCTTAATAAGCTAAGTCTAGAGGTTCACTCAAGAACTCATTTTTTCAACAATTTATAGATTGACCTCTACCATACCTATTCCCTAAACCACAGTCGAGTCGGGCTAAAATATTACACACAAAAGAAGAGGTCATCATTACATATCAGTGACAGTATTTTTCTCAAAGAAAACAGTACCAATCCTGAAAGGTAAAAAAGTAGCTTACCATATGTTCACCACTAAGATCTTGCACCACTTTGATCTGATCAAAATCATAAGGCCCTTTAAAACCATGTGCTGCTTTGAATTTAACTGGTCGCGTGTATGGCATTCCTTCATCATCACTTGATGAAGGATCATCTTGATCAGTATGAAACACTGAATAGAAAAGCATTAACAGAAATCATTACCAGCTAATATAGATATCCCCAAACTACACCCATTGCCATGGAGTTGATTCTGGGCAGAGTAGAACTGCTCCACACAGGTTCTAAGGCGATGAATCTTTATGGAAGCAGCCTGCCACAGCTTTCTTCTATAGAGTGGCAGGTGGGTTCAAACCTCCAGGCTTTTAGTTAGCAGCTGAGTACTCTAATCACTATGCCCCCCGGCAGGGTTCCTACATATAGGTATAACTGCTATCATATTTCTATACCCACTGCTTACCAAGTAAATGGAGGAAGAAAAAATGTTCACTACTAAATACACATTATTGAAGAACATGGAGCTCATGTCAAATTGCCTGGGTTCAAATGGAGCTCTACTCGTTGTTAGCTCGACTAGTTATTCAAATCAAGCTCTACCACAAGCAAACTGCTCAACCTTTCTCTGTCCCAGACTAATAACGAAACTTACCTCATAGAGTTTTTATAAAGACTAGACAAGTACAGGTGAAAGTGTTCAGAATAGTGCCTGTACTGAACAAGTACTATGTACGCGTTTGTTAAAGAAAAATGAGTATAACAATAAAGGCGCAGGAAGGAAGTCAAGACTTGTGCAAATTTTGAAATGCTATCTTAGTTTCAAAATATTTATAAATAATAAACAGCCTTTTACAACATGGATGAATTGGGAGGATATTATGTCGAGTGAAATAAGTTGGTCACAAAAAGATAATACATAGTTCTACTCCTATAAAAAGTCAAGAACAGATAGACACAGAGAAATGTATTTGATGGCTACCAAGGATGAGCGGGAACCACTTTCGAGATAGTAGACACTTGTTACTTGTGGTGCTGGCCACGGCAGTCTGAAATATGGCTGCAGCCTGCACAACCTGACCAAGGTAAATAAAGGCACTAAGAAAGACATGAGAAAAATGGCCAATTTTGTTAAGTGTTATAACACATATGATTTGTAACAGTAAAAACAATAAAAAACTGTGTGTATGGTTATGGATATATGTGTATAGGAAGGAAGGCATATGTAAGTAAATGCACATGCCTTGTTTACATTTTTGTATGTGCTGCATATAAATCCACATATATAACAAACCTTATAGGAGGCATGGTAGATGGCACTTAAAGGTCAAACCTTCTGGATCAATAGTTACTAAAGGAACCCCTGAAACTATGGCCCTAAGATAACCACTAAACTTGAAACTGAAGTTATTTCTGATAGCTCCATTCATTCATTCTGCTAAATAACAGAATGACGTAAACAATAAATAATAATTCATTGAGTAATGTGTTCCCTTAAACAAGGCATTTTATGAGAGGGCTACAAAAAGTTCACAGAAAAAAGGAATGAAAAGGTAAGGAAATTTTCCCACAAATTTTTTTGAGACCCTCATGAGATCAAACATTTACCCAAAAGCAAAAGTAAGAAGGAAAGGAGGGGAAGAAAGTTAGGTCCATGCAAACAGAATAAAGTGAATGGAGATATAAATATTATAACCAAAGGCACAAAGGTAGTTGTATAAAAAATGTTAGAGGATGAAACTAATGTGCTGTGTAAACTTTCAGCTAGCACACATCCGCCTCATTCAAATAAACTGCTAAACACTCAACTCTTTCAGGTTGCGCCATTCACAAAGTAGGGATAAATTCAGGTCTAAGAAATACAGAATTTATGGGAATATTGCTCACTAAGATATTCAATATTAAAGAGTTATTCCTGTTATAAACTGAAGATAAGCTTTAGATGACCAAAATGTTATTTTAGATGACCAAAAATTTATTTTAAATGATCAGTAAAAATGCTATTTTGCTTACCTTCGTCTCGAACACTTTTCACTTTATTTACAGCACGTTCACCATATTCTTCAGCAAGGTGCTTTGCTCTCTTGACTGATTTTCCTAGGAACTTCTTTAGTTGAGTCCTAACCAAAACAGAAACAAAACTACCCTCCAAAACCATTTCTCATTAACTTAACAATTCACATAAAAGCTCATTGGTAGTAACTGGCCAAGTTTATTATTTTGAAGTAATCCATTTCTTTAGTTTCCATATTCCTTCCATTATGGAACAAATATATGACCACATAGAAAATATAGGAAGGCGCTTCCCGCAATTGGTATGCCATAATCTCCAGAGCACCAGATTTCAACTATGACTAACAACTGTCAACTCTGGGAGAAGGCTGGGTGGGAATGAGTGTTTTAAGTTAAGTACTTGTATAATCACCCCCGCTCCTGACAATCTGATTTTGTGGGATTGCGGTGAGATTAATCTCAAATAAAAGTCGTTAGTTAGGAGAAAAATTGTTTTTGAGAGTGTTGTTCTTAAAAGCACATTTTACCATTAAGAATAAAATGTAAAGAGGTACTTATAAAATAGAAGGCTTTAGTAACTCAAGAGATTCCCCTGTCCCATCACTTTCATATCAGATTTTAGATGTAATACAATTTGGTTATTATACTTTCTTAGTAGGGACACAGTGTAACCTAAGTATGTACATCTTACTTATCTATAAATACAATTTACTTATTCTTTTTCAATTACCCAAGACTCAAATTTCACAGATTAAGGTTATGAAACCCAAAGCCTAGCACACGGTGTTTACAATAAAACAGAAAAGGTGAATCAGAGACAATCTATTCTTAGCAATTTAAAATATTGCTAGGCTATATATATACACAAAAATGTTTGTGGCAGCACTGTCTTGAATACATAAAGTAGAACTGAGTGAAATTTTCATGAACAGATGAGTATATAAGAATAATGTTTTTCCAATGGACAAGGAGAAAACGAATGAGGCCAACAGCAGTTATTTAAGTGTACCAAGCTCTTTTCACCTCAGAGCCTTTGCACACATGGCTGTTTCTGCTGGAACCTTCCTCCCCTGGCAGAGTGCTGTTTATCTTTTGGGCCTCAGCTTAAACGGCCCTCTCGAAAGAGTCTTCCTTGACTCTTCAGACTAGGTTTTTGCTGTTACAGTATACTCTCAGAGCACACCACACTTTTCTTCTCTAGCAATTACTACAAATGTAATTAGAGGTATCTGTGTAATTACAGGTTTAGTGCTGGTCTCATTTAACCATAAGGTCTATGACGGCAGAAATGATGTCTTCTTAGCCATTTTTCAGCATGTTTGGCTCATAGAAAGACTGCAGGCTATGTACTACTGGTATTGATAGGAAGAGTTGTCAATGACATATTAGATTTTGAGAAGGCAGGCAACAAATATAGGTTTAGTATAATTTCATTTTTGTGAGGAAAAAAGTTCCACAGAGAACAGACCAAGCCATTAACACTGATTATTTCTAGAGGTGAATTTAAGATAGGCTTTCATTTTCTGCTTTACTCATTCGTACATTACTACTAGAAATAAAAAAAAGTAAAGAAAGCAAATAATTTTTAAAACCCCCAAACACTAGAAGGCCTTTTGTTGTATTTTCTGGGTTAACTATGTATATTCACTTCTACTCTCCTTGATAAACAGTCCTTGTTACTATCTTTTATATATTTCACCCACTGCAACCAAGTCAATTCCAACTCAGAGTGACTCAATATAGAATTTGCAAAGCTTTTTGGTTGAAGCTTTCTTTCTCTCTTGGAGCAGCTGGTGGACTTGAACCACTGACCTTACAGTTAACAGTCTAATACTTACCCAACATAGCCACCAGGGCTCCATTAATATTATTTAGGACCTTTTAAATGAACTACTAGTGTGCCATAATAATGGTTCTCATCTCACCTTCTGCCTTCAAAGCAGCAGGGCAGGGCTCAGGAAAGCTAGAATCTGCCCTCAAAGTTCACATCAGTGTTCAGTGTAAATATTACCATTTCCTCTGAATGGAGAGCAGTGTGGGTAGAACAGTTGTTCTATGTATGACGTGTTTGATCATTTGTGTCTTTTCTCAATCAAGATATTACCTAACATATCTTACATGCCAATTTATATGTAATCACAATTTGCTGAGTTCAGAAAACAGATGACAAGATTTTAAAAATCAGGTTGAAGTGCAATGGTTTTGAATAAACTTGAAGAACTTTTTTCTTAGAAAGATGCAGAAACTTTTTGCATGAACTATATGATCGCTCTCCTGTCTACTCACCTGTCTCCTGAGTAATTCCTAATTTCTTAGGTTCCTGAGAGTTGCCATTGTTGAGTATCTGAGATGTTATCATGTATGTGCATCTGACCACATCTATTCTAAAAATTCTCATTGCTTCCTCTCATACATCTCCCATACGTGGAAAAGGACAGGCTCAAGTGGAGAATGTGCTTTTAGCCTTAAGACTGACTTATTGTCACTTAAGCGATGAGTATACATTGTTGTTGTTGTTAGTTGCCATCGGGTTGGCACCTACGCATGGAGATCCCACCTCATGTGGGCGGAATGGAACTGCTACATAGGGCTCCCATGGCTGTATCCTTTTGGAAGTACATCACCAAACTTGTCTCTAGAAGGGACATGGGTAGGTTTGAACTGACAACCTTTTGATTAGCAATTGAGTGCTTAATCATTTATATCACCAAAAAAAACAAAGTAACTTACTTGATTCTGACTCATGGCAACCCTACAGGGCAGAGTAGAACTGTCCATTTGGGTTTCCAAGACTAAATTTTTAGGGGAGCAGAAACCTTCATCTTTCTCCCATAGAGCTGCTGGTTGGTCCACCATTATTGACCTTGTGGTTATCAGTCTGCAATGGATGAATTACTTAATATGGTTCTCTTCTAGCTAAAGGCCGTTGTTACTCCTACCAATTGACCTGTATTTCCCAGATGGGTCTGGATGAGAAAGTGGGGCCAGATACTGACTGGATTACACGATTCAGCTGTGAGTGATTGCTAACAAGGTTCATTGTGACTACCATCCTGCCGGGAACAAAATCAACCTTCTCAGAACCAGAAAGGGGGAACTCATCTACCAGCAAAAGAACCGTGAGGGAGAGCACGCCCTTTGCACCCTAAGATTGTGTGCACTGAATCTCCTTGATCCAGAAGACAGATTTGACATCAGAGGAGTGGAAGATTTGCCAGCTCACAGAGGAAGTAAAGCTGCATGCTTTGGGACAGGAGACTGGCTTGTGGAGTGACCTGCCTCTGGTCACTTACGTAATTAGGGGAGCTGGGTTTGCTGACCACAGAGCTGGAGCTAGAGGTGGGGGCCTTTGGGCTGAGGCTTAAAATGGAGTGGAATACCTCTGGGCATTAATTAGACCAAACAGGCTGAGAAGAGACTGTCTTGCCCCATATCGTGGGTATTGTCTGTAAGTTCCACGTGGCCATTGCAATGAATTATTGAGCCCAGTTGAGCAGGAGAGAGTGCATGGGAGGAATGGATGATGTCAGAATACTGTAAACAGTGATGGAGGTGTAGATATAGGTGATCTCTGCCTTGTGGCGACTGGCTCTGCGAGCTGGGAGAGGTTAAGGTGTGGCCGATTCCTTAAAGCCCAACTTATAACCTACTAAGCTACAAGGGCTCCTTTTTTTGTTTTGTATCCCCAGCAACTTTCAACTTGTGAATAATCGAGCAGAATCTGTTTTTCCCACCCTTATGCTACAGTTTAGTAAGAGAAATAAAAGGTGATACAGAAGGGTGATACTAATCCTTTTGCAACAAACAATTGTATAACATGTACTTATCTTGCTTCGTAAATTAAAAAGAAATTTAATATATTATAAAGAGGAAAAGTAAGTAATTAAGACTATAGGTATCACTGAAGTTGATTTAAAAAAGACTATGAACTAGAGTAGTCAGGAAGAATCTCTTACAGTTGAGTTTAGAAAGACAAACAGTCTGCAGAGATGAAGAGAGAACTGACAACTTTAAGGAGGACAGTCACATTCTTCTCATAACACTTTGGTACCTATCATTAGCAGAAGCCATATGGGGATAATGCACAGTTTAGAGATGATGAGCATTATGCGGCAAGCCTCATGGGACCCATACATAATCCATTGGCTAGAGACAGGGAGTAGTGACTGTAGGAAGCCACATGAACTGGACAAAGCATAGATTTCACATAGTATGCTGATTCTCACACTTGTAATAAAAGCACGAAATAAGATGCACGAGAACTCACGTTTTTTGTTTTAACCTTCCACCATCGGTATCTGTTGACTGGGACTGTAATTTCTCTTCATCATCTGATTGTGCTGCATCGTTACTGTAAGGAGGGGAAGACCTTTTTTTTTTTAATGCTATTCAACCAAGGTGCAGTATAGCACTAAGGAAACACACACCATTCCTCTAGTTTCTGAATGCCCCCTCCCCGCCACCATAACCCAGCTCTACCTAACAAATCTGGCTAGACTGGAGAACACAGATCAGTACAGATAAGAGTTCTCCACACACGGAATTCAGGACAGATAAACCCCTCAGGAACAGTAGTGGGAGTAGTGATACCATGAGGGGAGGGGGGTGATCGGGAAAGGGAAGGGGGAGAAAGGGGAAATCCATCACAAGGTTGGATATATAGCCCCCACCCCAAAGGGGACGGTTAACAGAAATGTGGGTGAAGGGAGACAGCAGAGTGTAAGATATGAAATAATAATGACAATATGCAATTGATCAGGAATTCACAAGGGTGGGGGAAGGATGGGAAAAAAAGAGGAGCTTATACCAAGGGCTCAAGTAGAAAATGTTTTGGAACTGATGATGGCAACATATGTACAAATATGCTTGATACACTTGATGTATGGAATGTTGTAACAGCTCCCACCCCAATAAAATTATTATTTTTTAAAAAGCTATTTCTCCTCTACACCTCAAAATCTTTATTTATACTTATGATGGAATCTTGATCAGAATAAAAAAAGTGCTTTTGTTGACATGTTTATATGATTTAAATTAAGATTGTGACCTTGAAAATTCAATGAGTATAGAGATGGAAGAATATCATCTTTTTTAAAAGAATATCATCTTTAAAAGCAAATTGCAATGTATAATATGTAAATGAATATATTTCAGGAATTTATGAAATATTACCACAACACTTTTTGCTTGGAAAAAACTATGCAGAACAGAAAAGAACGTTTAATTATCTTCTTTGTTCACTCTTCTTTCGATATATAATAGACTGAGGGGACCCCTGGTGGTACATAGGTTATACATTGGACAGCTAAACGGCAAGGCCAGCAGTTCAAGCTCACCAGCTACAACCCTCAGAAGCCCTAGGAAGTGGTTTTCCTTTACCCTATAGGATTATTTTGAGTCAGAATCGATTCAATGACCATTGGTTTGGATTTATGTTTAATAAAAAAACTGTTGCTTTTATAAAAATCATTCCTTAGGTCTATTTACATCTCACAGAAAAGACAAGCAATTAACTCTCTCTCTCTCATTTTCAAGCCTATAAGGAGAACAGCCTACTGCCATCGAGTCCATTTCAACTCACAGCAATCCTATAGAGGGCTTCCCAGGCTTTACAAATCTTCAAGGGAGCAGACAACCTCTTTCTCCCATGGAACAGCTGGTGGGTTAGATTCACTGACCTTGCAGTTGGCAGCCCAAAGCTTACCAGACAGTACCACTCTTGCAAAAAATGATATGTTCACTTCGTCTGACTTTTTGATCTTAAAATGTTTGCTTGTGATGTGTCTTCTGTTGACTCAATGTCAATGGGTTTGGTTATTATCAAGTCAGTTTCGACTCATGGTAAACCATTTTGACAGAGGAAATGTGCTACTGGAACTTATTGGTTGTTAACTTGACAGGAGCAGATTGCCAGGCCTTTCTTTGCAGAGCCGGTGGGGAGATTCATGGAACCAAACTACCAGTTAGCAGCCAAATGATTAACCCCTGTGCCACCAGGACTCCTTATATCGTCTCTGGAATAATACAGATCATTTGAAAAAGAGGAGAAATGAAATAGTAGGAAGTACAATTAAGATTAGTACTATTTTTTCTAGCTACTGTGTTTATTCGAGTATAAGTGGAGTTTTTCAGCACATTTTTAATGCAGTTTTTGTGGTAAAATTAGGTGCCCCAGCAGATATTCGGGTCGGCTTATACTCGAGTATATACAGTAATTGTGCAATCCTAAGAACAAAGTTTAACACACACAGGCAGTAATTCCAGACTTACCGAAAAAGAAAGAAAATAAATCCAATTCGAGAATGTCAGTGCATAAACAGACATCTTCACCATTCAGACTGTAACTGATATATGTTAGAGCATACCTTACATATTCTTTAGTCCGCCTCATGATGTGCAGAGTGAGAGGATTAATACCTGTTGGCAGTTTCTCTTCTGCAAGGCTCAAGGGTATTTCCTCTCCAGTATCTAGGTTCTTAATCATGACACTGGCTAAAATTTCCTGAGGTAAAAAAATAACAATCAGATGATCTTCAATGAAATTAGCATTTTTGAATCTACTAAATCCCCAAAGATATATTCAATAGTGTTTATAATAAGTTTAAAACATCTTTGTTGAGATATGATTAATATGTCATAAAATAAAATATGCCTATATAAAGGGCACAATTTTGGGTATATTGAAAGTTGTGTAACAATTATCCTTCTCTAAGTTTAGAAGGTTTTCATCACTCTCAAAACAAACCCCAATCCTATTAGTAGTCACCTCAACACCTTCTCCTCCCCAGCTTCTGGAAACTCTCAATCTACTTTCTGTCTCTCTAGATTTGTTATTCTAGACATTTTACATAAATGGAATCGTAAAAATATGGCCTTTTTGGACTGGCTTCTTTCACTTAGCATAACGTTTCGAGATCTATCCATGTGGTATGCTGTACTTCTTTTGATTGCTGAAAATTGGTCCATTGTATGACTACACTGTATTTCATATATCTAACAATGGTTGATGGGCACATTTTGTTGGTTTATGCTTTTTGGCTTTTGTTGGGGAAAGGGAGCCTCAATAGTAATTGCGTATAATGGTTTATGTGTGCTTATGTTTTTATTGCTCTTGAGTACATCTAAGAGTGAAATTCCCGGGTATGGCAGCTCTACGCTTAATATGTGGAGAAACTATCAAATTGTTTTCCAAAAAGTACAATATTTATTTAAATGTACTGTTCAAATTAAAGAAAACATTTGCTTCAAATTTTCATTATGAAGTAATTAACCTGAGCCATGGTAGCATAGTGGTTACACAATAAGCTGGAATTTGCAAGGTTAGCAGTTCAAAACCATCAGCTGCTCCGAGGGAGAAAGACTTGGTTTTCTACTCTCCTTAACAGTTACAGTCCAGAAACTCACAGGGGCAGGCAGTTCTACCCTGTCCTATAGAGTCTCTATGAGGTGACATTAACTCAGTGGCAGTGAGTTCCATTTTACTTTTTGGAGAATCATACTAAGTAATTTTAATGGTAAGAAGTTAGCATTGATTGGTTCTATACTGTATACTACCTAATATGTATCAAACATGTTCTACCTATAATATCAAGTTTCTTATAAGTCTACTTTCTATAAAATATGGTCCTTGCTCTTAATATATTTATTTTATAATAGTGTGAAAGGACAAGTTTAGGGCAGGGTTCCGCCATATTAAAATGAAACAAAAACCCAAACAATCTTCGGTTTTCGTTGGTTTCCTACATTATGACTTTTAGATTTGTTTTTAAGAACCAAAGACAAACAAAGTCTAAGCATACCTCATCAGTAAGCTCTCTCCCTGAGTTGGATCTAGGTCTCTGAGGGCCCATCACTTCACCTGCTATTGTCTGCCCATCAGGTGTTCTTCCATTTTCCTGAAATTATAATTTTATAAACATAAAGTAAACCAAGTCAATTTCTATGTTTTCAATTATTCATAGCTGCACACAGTTCTAAAGTATTATCTACGAAAATTTTGAATGGAACACTCGGTTTTAGTCCTTTCTTTTTCCCAGCATGCTGAAAAAAAAATCAGTAGACTTGAAACCAAATCAATGCTCTATTTGATTCTGGCCCAAAAGAAATTCACTATTAATAGTAATGACAGTACCAAAACTGTCATTAATCAAGGGTGTAAATTCATATCACTAAGACCGAAGGTCAGCAAACTTTTAAAAGAACCAGGTGATACACAATTTTCATTTTTTGTATCACATACACACATTCTTCAGTTTTAAAAATAATTTTCTAAAATTTAAAGACCATTCTTATCCTAGCAACTAGTGACATTACTAAGGTTGATGCCACCCCGTGTAATAACTCATGGTGTCACCCCCCAACCCTGCCCACCCATAGATTGCCTCTTGTACCAGGATCATAACATATTCTTAGTAATATTTCTTAACAATTTTCATCACAGAATAATATGTGCTATAGTTGTAAATTGATTAAATGTAATTTTTATTTTTTATAAATCATTTTATTGGTGGCTCTTACAGCTGTTATCACAATCCACACATACATCCATTGTGTTAAGCACATTTGTATATATGTTGCCATCATCATTTTCAAAACATTTTCTTCCTACTTCAGCCCTTGATATCAGATCCTCATTTCCCCCCTTCCTCATGAACCCTATATAATTTACATTTTTAAAGGTAATTGTTCTTAAGATGAGATGAATACTAGCTGTGGCAGTTACATAATTGTCAAATTGTGAAGGGGTGGAGTCTAGCCTGTCATTCAGGTCATAGCCAATGAGGCCTCTGTGTGGGCATGGACTTCTCCAGAGGATTTTGGGAAGTCCTATCTTCTTCCCTGGGGGTGGGAGACACACTCTCCCTGCAAGACATTCCTGTTGACAAGCCACATGGAGCTACATTGATGGAGCCAAAGCCCTGGAGCTGGAGGAGCCATGTGGAGACCCACGCCAGCGCTGAGATGCTTCCACCACCACTGGATCCACAAGACTTTCCACCCACTGTCCTGTCATCTTCCTGAATTCGGCAACATTGCATGTGTTGCATGAGTCTGAAGAGGAATTTATAGACCAGTATTGGACATATGGGCTAATATTGGAATTGATCTGGACTGGGCTGGGATGTTTTCTTAATATACAATTACTCTTTGATATAAAGCTCTTTCTCATACACATGAGTGTTATGAATTTGTTTCTCTAGTCAACCCAGAGAAACACTAACACACTAACAATAAAGTTGTTTTGCAAAAATATTTCTATGTAGAACTAAAAAATTAGTTACCTTAGTAGCTAAGCAGAAGCTTTTAAAAAACATTTTTCCTTTTCCTTTATTCTTTAAAAAAGTTATTGATATGGGTTCACACATATACATACCACCATACCACAAAATTTGACAAAACAGCTGCTATAGAAACACTGGTAGCAATGAAAACACCAGCATGTACTTGCAATGGGTATAGATGAAGCCCTAGCTTGAAATATCATTGAATTTTGGTAATAATGACAGCTCGTGACTGAGTATATTAGAAGAGTCCAAAAGTAAATTAGTATAGAGTTTTAGACTTGTAGGTATAGTGACACATGTAAGCGAGGCTTATGAAAATTTTGCTATTGTTCTTATCACTAACTATTGGGATATTTTTATTAAAAATAACTTTTAGCTGAAATACTACACAGACACTTTGTAGATAGTTAATTTGGTGCCACCCTCTCGACACAGTCACTCGGTGAGTTTGGCAACTCTGACAAACCCCTAGTCATGAGACTGAAAGGGACCCTAAAATACGCTATTGCTGACCTTTGTTCTGAAGGAGCCCTGGTGACATAGTGTTTATTCTCATTGGGCTGCAATCCAGAAGGTCATCCATTCAATACCACAAGTTGCTCTAAGAGAGAAAGATGGGGCTTTCTACTCCTATAAAGAATTAAGAGTCTCAGAATCTCACAGGAGTAGTTCTACCCTGTCCTACGTTTTCATTATGAGTCAGCATCAACTCAATGGCAGTGTGCAGTGAGACCCTTGTTCTAAGGTTAAGAAAAACTACAGAATTCTGTTTATAGTCTACTGTAAGAGACCCTTGGATCAATCAAATATATTCCTAAGTGTGTTTTTAAGTCAAATTTTCAGGTAAGTTGGACCATATGATTCTTATTTATTTAGTGCAAGAAAAAGCTCGAAGCCTTTTCAATGACTAAAAGCTGCGCATGCAGCAAGTTGAAGGTGACTATGATGAAGACTGTGTTGCTAAAAGGGGTTGGACCAATTTTTTCAGAATTAAGGGCAAATTTACATGACATTAAAGGGCAACGATGAGTTGTCCTAAAGCTGGAGGTTCATAACCTTAGCACTTACTGAAGTCCACCCCATTCACAGTGGCCACTTTAAGCAGCCCTGGGGTCCCAGAATTTGAATATGGTAAAATTCATATTATCATACACATCGCCTGGGAAAAGGTGTTTTTCATGATCAGTTAAAGGAAACTATTTTTTAAAGCTCAGAATTTTGAACAATATAGGTCAGGTACAACAAGATTATAGCTCGTGTTTACTAATATTAATCATGTTACAAATAGCATCGGTCTTGTTTTTCAATGTTTACTATATACCATGTACTTGCCATAATTCAACTCAACTCATCTTTATAATAATCCTTTGAGAAATGTTTTGGGTTTTTTACAGTGTCTCAATGGAGTATCTGAGACTCATATTAACAAGTCTGTTAGGGCCACCGAGCTTGTTATGAGTGGAGGTAGACTGAAGAGAAGAAAGACGGTTGAACAATCAACAAACTAGCTTGTTGCAGAAAGCTGAAAAGCCAATATCAAATATAATACTGAAATTCACCAACCTGAGCAGTAACTACTTTATCTCCACTGGTAGCACTTGCCAAATCAAGAGAAGGCTGAGAATCCTTGGCTGTGCTCTCTGAAGCAATGCTCGGAGTTAGGAAGGTATCAGACATAATGTTCTCTTTGGCAACTGCAATGACAATAGCAATAGAAATAACTAACATTTATATATAGCTTAAAAAGGGCTCATAGAGCTTATATATATATAGCTCATACAGTGTTTTAACCTTTGTTAGATTCTTACAACAACTTTATGAAGTAAATGGTTTTATTAGTCTTGCTTTATATGTGGAGAAAAAAATCAAAACCAAATCTGCTGCTTTGAAGCTGATTCCTACTCATATCAAACTTATAGGACAGAGAATTGGTGCATCGAGTTCCCAATGTTGTAGATCTTTATGGAAGCAGATTATCTTATCCTTTTCCCCATGGAACAGTTGGTGGGCTCAAACTGCTTAACATCTGAGTACTTAAAGCACTGCACCACTTGAAAATCTCACGTTCTTGTCACAGGTCATGCTTAAACAGCAACAGTTTTGAAAGTTAGGAGGCTACTGAGAAATGTCTAATGATAGTAATATAACTTACTATCAATGTGAACATTTTCTAGCATGGTCGTCAATGCGGCTTTCCACAGCATTAACAGGTAAAAATGAGAAACCTTAGTAGCTTCAACATGGAAAAATTTCCACAAAAGTAGTTACCATATATACTCGAGTATAAGCCGACCTGAATATCAGCTGAGGCACCTAATTTTACCACAAAAACTGCCTAAGCATGTGCTGAAAACTTGGCTTATATACAAGTATATACGGTATTTCTCAATTGATACTTGCCTTCTAGATCAGGAGTTTTAAGAGCTTCAAATTCGGATTCACTTTTCTTTTTCCTTGGCAGTGGAACAGGTCGAGATGGAGGTGGGGGCCTAGGAGGTGGGACATTAGTTGGAGGAGGTGGTCGTGCAGGAACAGGCTTCTTTGTACTAGCCACAATATCAGGTTCTGGAGTAAGTTGTCTTGGAGGTTTGGCAGGAGCAGCTTCTTCTGCTAAAGCAAAATCTTTATTCGAGAAGGAACTTGAGGATGCAGGTTCTTGAACATCACTTTGTTTGGCCTCCACGACTTCCTTGTTCAATACTTCAGCATCAGTTTCAGGCATATGAAGCTGCTCAGTTGAACTTATTTCAGTTGATTTTGTGGCATCCTCTACTGGTTTCTCATCGGTGTCATCAGAAGGAAAGCATGATTCCATTTCTTCAAGTGTATTCTGGCTCTCTACTTTTTTGGAATCTTCCTGTAGTGCTGGATCTATGGCTAACAGTCCAGGCATATTGCTAAGATCTGTTCCAGTCACGATAGGGCTCTCACTTGCCTGATTAGAGAGTTCTTTCTCTCTGGCATCCAAAGGGTCATCTTCAAGTACTTTCTGACATTCCTCAATAATACTTTCAATAATCTGATAAAAGATTCAAAATAAGTTTTTAAAAAAATAAGTTCTTTTGTAAGAACATGATAGCAAACATGCATACAATATTTACTTTCAGGATATGTTCTTAACGTTTTATGAATTTTTATGCTTTACATTAATGTTATGTGATAGCACTTTTGCTATCCACATTTTATAAAAAAAGAACTTAGGAGAGTTCAAATGATTTTTCCAGGATCGCAAAGCTAATAAATGGTAAAGCCAGAATATAAATTTAGGAGTATGGCTTCAGAACTATACTCTTAACTATGAATGAGTTTGTGTTAAGCACATGTAGTCACAAAAGTACAATCAATCTTGCAAAATAACGTTCAAACCTAAAATTACATTAAGGCTCTTAACATTGTAGTTTGCTTACTCATTTATGTAAAATTCATGGAAATAATAAGTCTGCTGGTTTGAGCCCATTTACAAAATCATGAGACTCAAAATGGAACCAGTATAAGAATTCAAGTTGTTTACCTCCAGCAGAAGACTAGCCGGGAAGAAACACATTAGCATTCTCTTTTTCCCCCCTCATTAGCATTCTTAAACAGTCTGCTGCACTGTTTGGACAAATGGCAGGGCCATGAAAAGAGTTCAAACACCCAACCCATTTTGCCTTTTTCCCCATTTAATCTATTTTTCTGAAAAAATAGATAGGCAATTTGTACCTTTTAAAAATATTTAGGGAAAAAACCCCTGTCCAATCACTAACAAGTGAAATTTCACTTCTCTTTCTCCCATGGTCAATCATGGGTAACCTCTGCATTCTCTGTTCCTCGGCTGTATAAAGAAAAATAATGGCTCAGACTCTTCCTGATCGGGCTTACCAGAAAATCACACTCACTTGAACTGAATATCACTGCTGCTAAATAGTGTCCAGCCTGATTTCTACATATTCTATACAATAGTTGATCTCAAACTTAAAGTTTCAAATCCCAGAGCTATTTTACTCTTACTAGAAAAATACTAAATAAGAGCGCATTTAGTCTGTCAACTAGGTGGTCACTGAATACCAATGCTGTAGAGAAAACAGAAGCTAGATTACAGTTGGGTTAAAGACTGATTAAGGTTGTATAGCCAATGCCGTCGACTTTTTCAAGAAACTACAAAGGGGCAGAAGCTGATGAAAAAGAAGAACGTAAAGCAAAGTTCTAGTGAAGAAAGGAAAGAGGGCCTACTGTCAGTTAGACAAATATCCACATTCTCATTAAATCATCAAATAGGCCTTAAGAAGTAGCTGGATTATCTGTTTTTCATAGAAGTAGAAATTTGAAGTAAAAGATTAGGAATTTCATCATCTTATTAGCTTTTAAAAACTGTCTTGAACAGTATATGGAACACAGAAGCACTCAGGATTTGAATAAATAAATGAACACATGCGACCCTCCTTTTTCCTTGTTTCGCCTTGAGATTGTGAACCATCCATTTTCAAGCATTTTATCTTAGGTTTAGTCTTCAGGTAAACCAATCTCTGAAGATTCATCCTTTAATTGGTATCAAGGGTATTATCAGAGTAATGCTTTGTAAAGATATCAGAACATACTGTACTGAGCTTTCCAAAACCCTTAACTTCAAATAACAACCTCCTCAGAAGCAGCTACAGTTTAATATAATAAAAACATAACCTTAAAAAATAGAGTATGACCAAACATTTTGAAAATACTACTTTTGCTTTGAGTATATGAGTAAATTAGGAATTGCTTAGAATAAAAATATATTTTAGATATATTTTAGATCACAAATACAAAAGATTCGAGATACATTTACTTAACATCCACAATATACAGAGTAGCACCACATTGAAAAAATGGTATGGAAGAGTTTGCATGTTATATATACACACCACTAAATGTGATGCCTGATTTTAAAACTCTAATTATAGCTTACCAACCTTTTTTGATACATCTTGTTTCAATTCTTGTACAGAGGATTCATTTTCAACTTTGTATGCCGGGTTCTCTGTTTCCTGTTAAAAAGGGAAATGATAAACTAAATGATGCTATAACTTCTGATTTAAAAAAATCACCTTTAAATAGGTACAAATTAGAAAATAAAGTGTAATAAGTCAAAGGCCCATAGATGTTTGTATACTGATAAGTATCTAGAGATTATATGCCACCGGAACAATGAAATTTGCATAATAGGGTTACCAATCACTATTAGGAAATTTATTTTCCTAATTCAATGCTATTTTCCTTTAAATGTGGAAGCTTTCCCAATTTTTAGCATAAAGAAACCAACTGTACAAGGACACAAAACAAATAAATACCTTTGTAACTTAAAAGGATTAAAGATATAATCAAAGAGTTGAATCAGAATGGTTCCCCCCAAGTATTATTCCATAAATACATATAAATACAAAGGTCCCGGTATGTAACACACAAAACACCCCCTCAGAGATTAGTTTACTTAAAATTCCCTAGGTTTTCATTAAAAACAATAAAACTGTAATCAAAAGTTAAGCAAAGACCCCAAGATGTTTAGGTGAAAAAAAAATTAAACCCAACAACAACAACAACAAAAAATATATATGTATACATTCATATACACATATGTACATAAATATATATTTGGGAAATTAGAGAGGGAAGAAATGAATACTGCATGTCTGCTGGAAAATAATTATGGTAAAATACAGCAATTGCATATTCACAAACCTTGACATAATACGGTATTTTTCTCTTGTCATATAAAAGTACAGTAATGTCAATGTCTAGATATTTACAGAAGTACAGCCATTATAAAAAAGAGCCCTAGTGGGGTGGAGGGAGGGTGGGGTGGAAAGGGGGAACCAGTTACAGGGATCTACATATAACCTCCTCCCTGGGGGACGGACAACAGAAAAGTGGGTGAAGGGACTCGTGGGACAGGGCAAGATATGACAAAATAATAATTTATAGATTATCAAGGGCTCATGAGGGAGTGGGAAGTGGGGAGGGAGGGGAAAAATGAGGACCTGATGCCAGGGGCTTAAGTGGAGAGCAAATGGTTTGAGAATGATGAGGGCAAGGAATGTACAAATGTGCTTTACACAATTGATGTATGTATGGATTGTGATAAGAGTTGTATAAGCCCCTGATAAAAAAAAATTCACCAAAAAAAAAAAAGAGTCATAGTGGAGTAGTGGGTTATGCAAGGTTCTCCGTTTGATTCCACCAGCTGATCCAGGGAGAAAGATGAGGTTTTCTACTCTCAGAAAGACTTATGTCTGAGAAACCCACAGGGGCAGTTCTACTCTATCCTACAGGGTTGCTGTGAATCAGAATCCACTCGAGAGCAGTGGGTATTTGAGTTTACAGTAATTTTAAATACCACTACTGATACTGGGAGGAAGTAAAATTCTTAATTCTTGGTGCACCGTCACAAAGCTTGTTAGAATAAGGCCATCATGATCATTTTTTGAGAGATAATTGACCTCAGGCAAAGATTAAGGTAACACAAACAACGGGATACAATCATTATTACATTTCCTGAAAGATTACTATAATGCTAACAATTTTAATATGCTAGGGCAATGTCTATAGGACGTCTGATATCATCCACCTGAAAAGTTGTTTCACTGAACCGTTCCCAGGACTTAGCAAGTAACACCAATCTTAGATAGACTATTCCAAAAAATGGTACATGGAAAATGAAATACCAAGTAAAATCTAAACACTTAATAATAGCCCGTGAAGACATAATATATGCAGTGGTGGAATTCAGTTGGTTCCCACTGCTTTGGTAGAATTTTTTGTCTGAGTTTAGCAGACCGGTTGTTGAAATAGCACTTTGTAATCACGGTTCTCTCTAAGGAGGGTGTCTGGGCAGCCACCCTATGTGGAAACCACAAATAGACATTCCTTGCTCTTTTTTTTTAACACTCATTGGTGCAACAGCTTATTCTGAACGCCTGTAGTAACATCCATCCCATTCATAGGTATAAAACATTAGACGGAGCTATGCTTGTACTTATTTAGTCATTTCATAAAACTCGCTAAACTTTTGATGAAATACCTTATTTTTATTCCTTTACAATTGCTACTTTAGCAAACAAACATATAATAAACAAAGAAAAAAGGGCCAAACAACCAGACGGTGACCCTCTGCCATTCGCTTCAGCTTTTCATTGTGCCCCAAATTCCCATGAGATTATGAATGAATTATGCAATTGCTGAAAGTGTTCAAAGAGTTAAAAGTAGAACAATTGCTGTAAGTTCAACGGAAGCAGAAAGTGGCTTTTCAAAGATGAGCATGGTATGTTCAGAGAAGTCCCCTAACTGTTCCTAATCTACCAAACTCTATGACTATAGTCTAATTGGCCTACCTCTAAAGGAATGGGATCTTCCTCCTTGTGAAAAAATGGTTAAGGATAAATCACACAGCTGATATGCTCGCATAAAACCTAATAATATTTCAAGTGAGAATGCTAAATCAAGAAACAATATAGAAATATCTTAAATGGCAATTTTATTGTTTATTTTGGTCAGGTACTATTTATTTTTCATTAATATTTTAAAATGATTTTTTATAACCTAATCTAGTTTTATGTACCTCTTATTGCTATTTCAGTATTAACTATGAAATAACAAACTATCAGTGGTTATCTTTTTTTATACGTAAAACGGCCATTAGGGCAGTGAAACAGTGGTTCAATTACTTGAATTTTGCCACTGAGTATTTGGTTCTTGACAACAGTATTTCTGCTATCTGTATTTCTCAGTCCCTCTCCCACGCCTCCCCTATAGTTACACCTTGGTCAAGTAAATGGTTCCCTTGCTATTAAGGTTGTAGCTCAAATGTATTGTTTCAGAAAAGCCTTCTCTGGCCATTTTAAACCAGCCTTATGCCCTACCTTTCTTTTTAAAAAGGTTTTTTATATAACTTACATATCATACAATTAAATCTCTGAGTATACTAAAAGGCTGTGCACTCACTCCCTTACCTTTCTATCAGTGTCCTAGCTTTTCCTACATTGCACACATCATTATTTGAAATGACCTTGTTAGCTTGCTTATTTTTGTTTCTTCCCTGGCCAACTAGAACATCAGGTCCACAAGAGCTGAGATCTTGTTTGTTCAGCCCACCACTATTTACCCGGCACTTAAAAAGAGTGTGTGGCACCAAGCGATCATTTGCTGAACACACAACACACCTGAAATAATGCCTGCTTTGGCTTTTCTTCAGTTTATACACATATCTTAAGTTGATAAGCCCTTCAATGGAACCCCAGTTTTAAACTAAAGCAAATCTAATCATAACCAATTAATACAATAACCTTCACAAGATGAGGGAGAGCAAGAGAGAATCCATGAAAACTGATGTTCATTAAGAATAAAGGGTGACAGGAGGGTGGGGTGGAAAGGGGAGACCAATTACAGGGATCTACATATAACCTCCTCCTTGGGGGACGGATAACAGAAAAGTGGGTGAAGGGAGGCGTTAGGCAGTGTAAGATATGACAAAATAATAATTTACAAATTATCAAGGGTTCATGAGGGAGGCGGGAGCGGGGAGGGAGGGGAAAAATGAGGAGCTGATGCCAGGGGCTTAAGTGGAGAGCAAATGTTTTGAGAATGATGAGGGCAACGAATGTACAAATGTGCTTTACACAACTGATGTATGCATGGATTGTGATGAGATGTATGAGCCCCCAATAAAATGATTAAAAAAAAGAATATAGGGTGCATATTAGCATTCATCTTAAGCTGCCCTACCAATTAAGCATTTTAGCCAACTGTTTTCCAGTAACTGTTCATTAAGTAGAAAAATCCAACCATACACATGAAGAATTCCTATACCTCAATTTAATTTCCTTTAATGAAGTTCTTACAAAGGTCACTGACCAAAACTGACAAGCAGTGACTAGACTTCTGTTTTTATTTGAACAAAACTCTCTTGGACTTAGAACTCCTGAAAGAGATCAAGCCCTATAGGGAAAACTACTGCTAAGTCACAGGTTTAAAGAAGTGATAGGGAACTTAACAGAACTTGGTCTCTGGTGAAGTTAATCAGATTTCTTAGTAAATCCCAAATTAGACAACTATGATTCTTCCCCAGTGATGTACAAGGTTCAAGACCTTGTCCTAGCACCTTGATCCAGGTTTTTTTTTTTTTGATAAAGCAAAGGAAGTCAAGTACGTGGTTAACACCAATGGAACTGTACTTGAAACAGTCCTCACACAGCTGAGCTGTTACTAGAATGCACTATGAAACCCCAGCATGCCCATTTATCAGGCCCTTTGTCTAGCACAACGTCAAGACACATGCTTCGTTAAAAGAGAAGGCAGATTATGAAAGTTCTACAGGATTTATAGGGAGTCCTGGTGATGCAGTGGTTAAAGCAGTTGGCACCCATAAGCAACTGCACAGGAGAAAAATGCGGCACTCTGCTTCTATAAAGATCATAGCCTTAGAAATCCTATGGGAAGTTCTGTTCTGATCTATAGGGTTGCTGGGGGTCAGAATCATCTCAACAGCTATGGGTTGGGTTGGGTTGATTCTTTATACTACTTTACCCTCTGTGTTGTGTATTTAAAAGCTGATTGTATCACTTTTGTAATATTTGGTTATAAGATTTGAGGTTTTCAATTTTAATAAGCAGCACAACTAGGATTAACTCAGATTCACTAGTATTGGTACACTCAGAGAAAGACTCACTATTATTATTTAGAGAACTGCAAGTAAAAACTAAATTTTGAAAAAAAGTTTAGGTCATTTCTAGTGTTTAAGAAGGAGAGAGGATGTTATAGACTTGAATTTGGGCTCCCAAAATACGCGTTGGAATCCTAACCCCTGTACTTGTTTGGAAACACATCTCATGTATCCTCCTGGGTAGGCTCCAAAGATGAGGCCATTAGATGAAAACTGACGTTATGCAAAACTTCAGAGCCAAGGGCTCCACAGGCTCCAAGAGTCATTTCGAGGCTGCCCAGTGGGACTGTTAGCCTGCCCTGCTATCCCTATCTGCAGCTCAGCTTGCCATTC